GGCTAAGTAACCCCCTTCTCCCTAGCATTTGCTATTGGGAGGATTAAGAGGCTGTACTCTCAATGTGCCAACTTTAGTGGATGTTTTTGGGGGATCTCTGAACTCCATTTGTTTCATAGGAATCCTGGGTGATTAACTTAACCTGAACCCTGCTAGGTAGCAGAGTGCTTAGAAGTTAACGAACAGCAACAACGGGTCAACCCTTACAAACTGACCTCAAGTACAGGATGCTGCTAAAAGGGGTGTTTCTGCCTTGTCCTTTGCCATATACTCCAGCTGCCTCGATGGGACTAGCATTTGTGCATGGTGCAGTGATCGTACTAGGAAAACTCACAAAGAAAAATAAGGGGTTTGCAGCTAATTCCTCAAGAGCACATTTACTTCCAGCAAGAAAAGAAGACAACTTTCATCCACGAGCAGAGTCCCAGGTTCCTGGGAAGACGTTGTGGTTTAGTGCTGTGCCAACTGATGCCTTAGGTAAAGAAGGTAAATAGATCTGGAAAGACAATATCCTCATAGCCTTTGTCAAGGTCACTCTGAAAGCAGAGTCATGTGGGCCTCTATGACTGGACGTGACTTGTTTCTGGGTAGATAAAATAAATTGATTTTCATTTAAAAGGAAAAAGTTAGTCTGCAAAGGCAAGACCTTCCTAAGATTCAGTGTCTGCACAGCAGCCCTACTTTCTCCAAATGGTATTTTGTATAAGAGTATTATATTTATTTTAATGTAAGGAAATTAAAATTAAATCATAATAACTTCTTTTTTTAAAAAGTGCACTTGGATTAAAATACTATTGAATTGCAGTCAATATTGTTGAGCTCCAGTCAGTGTGCATCAAGTAGGAAAGTTTATATCCTTTATAAGCAATGATGTTGAAATCCTAGCTGCCCTCTTTATCGATTAAAGAGACAATGATGCTATGCAATTTACTTTTGATCTCTAGTGTAGCAGTGAAGCTCTGACATGGTAAGAGCAGGGGAAGTCATCAGTTGCTACGCCTGCAACTCAATTGTAAGATTCAAGTACCTTAACGTTGTTTTGGAAAATAGTGATGAACTTATTTAAATTGGCCTGATATTTAAAGCTGTGTCCTGTAGCAGTTTAGCTAGAGAAATGAGCTCTTTTTTCATAACTTACTGTTATTAGAGAATAATTTGCCTCTTACTTTGTCTCCTCTGAAGTGAAATAATACAAATATATAAAAGCGGCAAAAATGACCCTTGCAATAAAAACCTTTGGAGCATAAATCTCCTTAAGCTAAAATTTATTTGGAAGTCTTTTAAAGCTCATTGTATAAAATTCCTTCTCATCTAGAAGCTAGTCCATACCTTTTTGGGGTGGGGGGGTGGAGAGAACAAAACAAAAAGAGCTTGAATGTGTCCACTAAAATATATCCATAAATAAAGTAACAAATAAGAGAAAAATATAGAAATGCTTGCAAAGTTTGGAATAGACCGGCAGTCCTTATTTGAACAATGATGCAAATATTCTTTAATACCTGGAACAATTACATAAGATTTGGAATAATACTGGAATCTGGTATGTAATGCTTTAAGCCACTTGTTATTTTGATATAAGATGAATACGAATGCTAAGTAAATAGATGGAATAATCTTAATTAGCTACAAGAAAAAGTGTGACTTAACCAAGAAGCTGCTCAGTGCTAGTCAGCAATTTTAGAATGGTTGTTATTAAGATGATTTATTTTGCAAACTTTGTTTGAGAAAAAATTACTGGTGAGCTAGTATTTTTAATTAAATTGCAAGTAGCAGATTACGGTTTTTAAGAAACCATTTATCCATTTTCTGGATTCTTGGGACTGTATTGCACCACGCAGGTGATTCTTAAGTAGTTACAAAATCTTTCTTCACAGAGACAGCTCCTAATGCACCAGCTCTGTGTACTGCTCTCTCCCTTGTCTCTGACATGGGAGATGTACTGATAAAAACCTCAGCATAGCTGGAACATTGCTTTGTTCTCCACAGCATGATTAGACTCCACTAAATAGATTTTCCCAGAGTTTCTTTGAGTTCAAATCCGTGCTTAGCAGCTTAAGTATCAAGAAAATATCAAGAATATGCACTAATGGTTAAGAAACAATCTTCTGGCTCTTTCTTCATCACAGCTGCACTGCGTATAGAAGGCGCAACACAGAAAATTTTGCCTAAAGTTGAGTTTTCCCCTAATGTCAAAATTCTGAGAATTTTCTATAAACTTACGAAAACTTATGTTTGAACAAATCTGCTTGAAAGTCTCTTTCCTTCACAGAGGTACAATATTAAAGTGAACATCTTTCAAAATTCATCTTAAACTCAAAAGCTGCCCATGAGTTTGATAGCAGGCATCACCAGTAACAGTTTCATTTCAGTGATGCTGCTTGAATATACATAACATTGATTCACTTTGGATGAAATATTTACCTATTCTATAACTTGCAAGACTGTGACATAGAATGAATTATCCCCTTTTGTGGGTTATGCTGAATTATGTTATAATTTCAGTTACTACTGTAAGCTCTTGGCAGAGAAAGGCAGAAGTGGCGAATAAATACTTGTATATGTGAATAATTTGTTTCTGGCCTTAATAAAAATGATGAACATGAGAGTTGTGGTAAGGCAGCTGAACGGAATGAGAATGGGACTGTGGAACTTGCAGTTGGCTCACCATTTTCTAGGATGATAGTGGTGACCGGCATATCTGAGGCAAACAGAAAACATGATTAATAACGTGGGAAACGTAATAGACAGGCACTCTAGCATTCTGAGATGGTGGTTATCCCTGCGTGTTCCAAGTCGTTCCTCTGTGTTATCGAGCCCAGATTATTGACCTGGTTCTAACTATGAAATGAAGAGAGGCCAGAAATCTGACAGGGTTCGGTGCAGAGCCACCAGAAGCTGAATTAGCAGCATGTGAACCCAGCTGTACCACTCCCAAGACCTCTTCAAGCCATGAAGCAGCACTGCTGCTTTGACATGACTGGCACCGGAGCTAGCAGATCGTATCAGGCCTGACCTTGGCTGTCACTGTCCTGTGTCTGCAGAACTGGGAGTGTTAAGGGGCAGGTTGAGAGACATCTCACTGCCATGCAGGACCTAAGTCAGCCTGAAGCTAAGTGTTGTGCTGATACTGTCACCTCTGTTAGAGACAAGTTGATGCTTGCAGAGCTACTGGGATGTCCCAGCGCTGCAGAGCTCCTAGTGGGCCACAGCCAGCCAGCTCTGAGCTGCCTGGACAGGGCTGCAGTGAGAACTAGCTTCCGTGCCCCAAAAGGGACAAGATAATGAGATGGCACAAAGGCGATCCAGAATTTGAGAACATAGGCTTGCTTACTGTGCTATTGCACTGCATTTGGAGTCCACTGATTCTGAGCAGATGAACTGTAGGATTCAAGTGGGATTTTTTTCCCCCTCTTCATATATACGAGTTGGACGTGCAGGGCTTCACACACTGGCCATAGCTAGAAACAGGACACAGGGAACAGTTCTGCTACTGGTACTGAAAGTTACTTAAATTCCTGGCTGGTTCATCTTGTCCACAAAGCCAGCACTAAACAGACGGCCACATTTGGACTCATTTTGAGCCAGAGCAATCTGGCTGAGATCTATGCAGCTACGACACTAGCAACGGCCTGAAACTTCTCTGTCCCCTTCCTATAGCTTTTGCTCTTTTACAGTACAAAGCTTAAATATACTAATGTACTGTGAAATGTTTTGTGCTTTATGAAAGGTGGAAGCAGGTATCCTGAAGTGAATCTCTTAGCAAAATGCGTGTGCTTGTGTGAAAGCGATGAGTTTCAACGATATAGTCACTTCAGCCATTAAATTCTTGTTTGATTTCCTGTATTTTAAAGTCATAGCTATTCTTCAGAACGTTTTGAACAGTGTGGAGTAGTGCTAATTCCTGTTGGCTGTATTGCCAAGATGCCTAAAGAGAAAATTGAAGAAGGCTGTAGTTGGTAGGTTGTCTCTTGGCAGTTTTCCTTCCACCCGTTTGGAACTTCTCTCACAGAAAACTGCACCTACTGGATCAGTTTCAGTGAACTGAAATCGTTAATTTCCTTAGCACCCTATTAAAGCCTATTCATTTTGAAACCATTACTGGAATATAATTTCTTTAATAACAGAAATGTGGTGTCTTATTCTGGTGAATAGTAAAAACCCCAAGAACAAAATCCTTTTCAAATCGAAGTATAACAGGCAACTACATGAAAAAAATGATGCGATCAAATTGTATCATTTCAGTTTTACTTTGGCAAATAGATAATACAATCATAGTGTGAGAGCATGAAGAATATGTAGCTCTCCCTTTTTTTGAAATGTGTAGAATGACATTGCTCAGGAAAACATCTTCCACCACAGTTGATAATGCTTTTTCTTTTTATACTTACTAAGGAATCTGTTGTTTGCTGCAGCTGTGTCATAGCTGAATAACATTAATATTTTAATTGGACTTTTTAAGGGTGTGTGGTGTTAGGGTTTCATTTGTTCTCAAGTCAGCTTGGATTTTATGAGGCTATGGCTTTCCTTAAAGAACTGCCCTAGGTGCTTCACCTAGGTTATCTAAAGACATTAGCACATCATTTAGTTGCTTGAAAGTTTAACCAGCGTTTTGCTGTTCAAATGCTTAGTAGGATTAAAGACATTATCACATCAAAAGACCGAGTTTTGCCTTCGTCTGCATCTTCCACCTCCTACTCCCTCCCCTTCCTCCATGACTGCCTAAATTGCCTCTCAATTTAATTCAGAGTGAATTGACTTTCAGTCTCTGAACAAAAAATAAAAAAGTAAAGCCGATTTAAAAGATTTCAATTGAAAAAGAATCCTGTCGACTTTTCCCCACTGGAATTTCTCGACAAGAAGTGTCGGGGATTGACTTCGCTTGGCCGTGTCAGCGCAAAACACTTCTGGAAACAGTTTCCTCAAGAGCTCTTCGTGGACTCCTAAAACCTGCATCCCCCCCGGCTTTGAAACGCTAATTTCAGGCTAATCTAATTAGGCTAATGACTTGCACGCCACCGTGCAAAAAAGCTGGGACAATCCTCGAGATTTTCCTGCCTCCCAGACTTGCACTTTCTTCGTTGAATCCGGCTGGCTCTGAACAGCAAGAAGTACAAACTTCCATTTCACTGGAGGGAACGGGTCTTGAAATAGGCGGGCTGCTTAGCAGCCATCCTTGCCCTGCAGTTGAGGGAGACGTTGAAAAGAAAGTAGGTTTTGGTGGTGAAGGAGCAAAGCATACTTAAATATCGATTACGTATTGTCTGTGTCTCAGCAGGTTTGTCTGTTTCTCAGCGGGGTGAGTCTTCATTCAGCAGGGCACAAAGCTAGTGAGATCGGCCAACACAACGGGCGCGCAGGAGCCGGCTCTGCTCCGCCCTGCGCCTGCATCGTTTACAGCAAAGATCGCAAGCCTAGGCGTGGAGAAAGGTAGCCTGGTCCCCTCGTAAAGAGGAACGGGCCAAAATCTGTCCAAACGCTGAGCAAGTTGTGAACTCATCCTTCTTTTTAAGTGCCGACCGGGAGGAGTAAACCTGAGCGTGTGCAAGCCAGGCTCTGCGCTCCTTGTCCCAAGTTTGATTAACTTAGAATCTGGCAAGTCTTCCCGTTCGGCATTTACTTACTTGGCTTTCTGCGTTTTCTGAGCTTGCGTGGCACAATCACAAAGCAGACCGAAAGATCTCATATCGTTAAAAATATTGAGCCGCAAGGTAGCGGAAAGCCAGGAGTAAACCTGAGCGTGTGCAAGCCAGGCTCTGCGCTCCTTGTCCCAAGTTTGATTAACTTAGAATCTGGCAAGTCTTCCCGTTCGGCATTTACTTACTTGGCTTTCTGCGTTTTCTGAGCTTGCGTGGCACAATCACAAAGCAGACCGAAAGATCTCATATCGTTAAAAATATTGAGCCGCAAGGTAGCGGAAAGCCGGCCACAGAAGTTATGTCAAAGGACTTTCGTTTACCTCTCACGGACAGCCAGAGTCAAGCCTGTCAAT